CTGGTGGTGGCGTGGAGGTGGCGGAGGAGGGGGAGGAGGGGGAGGGGGAGACGGTCTGCTCTTGGCTTGTCTCAGCGCCCTCAGGTCGGGGGGCAGCGGCTTCCTCCCACGCTTGCGCGGCGGATCGGGTTTGGCGAGTAGGATCTGAGGCCTCTTCTGGGGGACCGGGTGGACGCGGGGCGCCGCCTTCACCTTCTTCGTGTGATCTTCTTCATCATCCTCCTCTGAGGACGAGGAGGAGGCGGACGATGTGAGGCCGGAGGACGAGGAGGACGAGGAGCGGCTGTCTTTAGTCGCAGCCGGCGCCGGCGGCTGAAACGATGAAGAAGAAGAAGAAGATGAGTAAAGGAAGACGTTTTGATTCTGCTCTTTTAAAAACCTTCAACAGAGAAACGTTACCTGAATCTTCCGCGGGCGTCCTCGAGGCCTCTTCCCTTTTTTCTGGAACAGAAGCTCCCTCTCTTGTTCTCTGAAACATGACGACACAATTTGATCTGTTAAATCGTTCTGATCTGCTTCAACGACTCGCCAGAAACTTCCTGAAATCATCACATTCTCACAGAGTCACTTCCTGCTTCTCGTGCTTTCACTTAAAAAAAAATCAACTTTGAAGGAATGAAGAAAACGAAGAACTGTGTTTTAGGATCCGGTACAGAGAGTGCACTGCTGTAAAAATAGAACAGATTGATATTTCTTTCTGCATAAATCTCTTCAACAACTTCAGCCCTGATCAAAAATATCAAATATTTAATAATTATCAGGCATTTAACCCTTTAAATGCCAGAATCATGTAATGAAACTGGCATTTAAAAAGGTTAAATTCATGATAATTATTCAATATTTTGGACATTTTCGCCCTCCGATGTCCAAACAGGGAACTACATTTTAAATCTGATGCTACACAAAAACTAAGAATGCATCAAAGTCAATATTTTAGATAACCTTTGACATATCCAAGACTGATTTTTTTAAATCCCCCAGCCACCAAATATTTGTTATTTGGAAAATAACAAATTTTTGTGTTTTTTTCTTAAATAACAACAGTGACATCAAGTAATCAAACTGGCATTTAAAGGGTTAAATTCCTAAAACTGATTGAATGTTTGGACTGAGGTTGTTCACACACACACACACACACACACACACACACACACACACACACACACACACACACACACACACACACACACACACACACACACACACACACACACACACACACACACACACACACACACACACACACACACACACACACACACACACACACACACACACACACACACACACACACACACACACACACACACACACACACACACACCTTTTGTGAAACGCAGCCAGTAACCTCGGATCCAAAATGTTTTCTTCAGGCTCCCAGCTGTTGTGCCTGAAAAAAGACAGAAAACGGTTCATACAGATTTTTAAAGCTCTCTGTCTCTTTGCAATGTTTTGAATTCTGACTGCAGTACCTGTTTTAAACACCAGGTGTCAGAGTTACATGTCGCTCCTTTAAAATAACAGATTGTGTTGTTTTTAAATCACGAAGTATTGAAAAGTTTCAGAGTGTATAAAGTTTAAAGAACTAAAATAAAAAGTGAATTTTGTCAGGATGTTATGATCATGTTCTATTACGACTAAAACTAGAGACGCACTGATTGGTCAGCAGCCGATACCGATGTTTGAAAAAACAGTTTAGACAAATCTCAGAACAACAGTTTGTTTCATGACTACTTTTGTTGTTACACAGAACTTACACCAGATACGTGATAACATGCATAAAACCTTTTAAACACATCCACAAACACACAGACGGTCGTTGTTGTGAAACGTCAAAACTGACTGTTTTATTCTGAAAATAAACCGGATGTGTTCATGTTTTCTCGGGGTCTGACTTCCTGCAGAAACCTGAGCGCTGTACTGTGCATGTGTTTATCTTAACCTTGTGTTTTAAAAACATGTCTAGTGTTTGACATCATGTTTGTAAAGTTGAGTTCATATTTAAACGTCTAGATTCATGTAAACTCAATTCTTTATGTCCTCTTCTAAATGTGACGACTGTAGAGCTTCATGTTCTGATCCACCTCGAAACATCTTTAATGTATGTGTCCTCTAGAGCCGGGGTTCCCAAACCTCGCAATGGACCCCCCTATAGGACTACCCTCTTGCAGGGACCCCCCTATAGGACTACCCTCTTGCAGGGACCCCCCTATAGGATTACCCTCTTGCAGGGACCCCCCTATAGGATTAACCTCTTGCAGGGACCCCCTATAGGACTACCCTCTTGCAGGGACCCCCCTATAGGATTAACCTCTTGCAGGGACCCCCCTATAGGACTACCCTCTTGCAGGGACCCCCTATAGGATTATCCTCTTGCAGGGACCCCCCTATAGGATTAACCTCTTGCAGGGACCCCCTTCTTTCCCCCTTCCTGTGAAGGCGAATATAAACAAATCAGAAATTCTACTTTTCCTTATTTATATGAACTTTAAACAAATCTTTTTTGTTAACAGACTTTTGTAGTCTAAACTTTTCTAACATTTAATTTTCACAAATTATGTTGTAAGTTAATTTTTGTCCTCTTCCCTCCAAGTTCCTGGGACACCCCCCCCCAGCACCCACTGGTGACCCCCCAGGTGGGTCAGGACCCCTAAACACACAGACCTGAAGACCATCTGATGGATCCTGACAAATAAACAAAAACATGTAAACACAGCAGCAGCTTCACATCTGATGGAGGATTAAACTGATCTGAAACCACAATAACTGCAAAGTTAATCAAATAACACATGACTGAAGACAAATTAAAGACATTTTCATGTGTTTATGTTTCATTTCTCGTGGATTCAGTGGAGCCTGCAGCCTGCAGCTTGTGTTGTGGAGCCTGCAGCCTGCAGCTTGTGTTGTGCAGCCTGCAGCCTGCAGCTTGTGTTGTGGAGCCTGCAGCTTGTGTTGTGGAGCCTGCAGCCTGCAGCTTGTGTTGTGCAGCCTGCAGCCTGCAGCTTGTGTTGTGCAGCCTGCAGCCTGCAGCTTGTGTTGTGGAGCCTGCAGCTTGTGTTGTGCAGCCTGCAGCTTGTGTTGTGCAGCCTGCAGCCTGCAGCTTGTGTTGTGGAGCCTGCAGCTTGTGTTGTGCAGCCTGCAGCTTGTGTTGTGGAGCCTGCAGCTTGTGTTGTGCAGCCTGCAGCCTGCAGCTTGTGTTGTGGAGCCTGCAGCTTGTGTTGTGCAGCCTGCAGCTTGTGTTGTGGAGCCTGCAGCTTGTGTTGTGCAGCCTGCAGCCTGCAGCTTGTGTTGTGGAGCCTGCAGCTTGTGTTGTGCAGCCTGCAGCTTGTGTTGTGGAGCCTGCAGCTTGTGTTGTGCAGCCTGCAGCTTGTGTTGTGCAGCCTGCAGCTTGTGTTGTGGAGCCTGCTGCTTGTGTTGTGGAGCCTGCAGCCTGCAGCTTGTGTTGTGCAGCCTGCAGCTTGTGTTGTGGAGCCTGCAGCTTGTGTTGTGCAGCCTGCAGCTTGTGTTGTGCAGCCTGCAGCCTGCAGCTTGTGTTGTGCAGCCTGCAGCCTGCAGCTTGTGTTGTGCAGCCTGCAGCTTGTGTTGTGCAGCCTGCAGCTTGTGTTGTGCAGCCTGCAGCTTGTGTTGTGGAGCCTGCAGCTTGTGTTGTGGAGCCTGCAGCTTGTGTTGTGCAGCCTGCAGCTTGTGTTGTGCAGCCTGCAGCTTGTGTTGTGCAGCCTGCAGCTTGTGTTGTGCAGCCTGCAGCTTGTGTTGTGCAGCCTGCAGCCTGCAGCCTGCAGCTTGTGTTGTGGAGCCTGCAGCCTGCAGCTTGTGTTGTGCAGCCTGCAGCCTGCAGCTTGTGTTGTGGAGCCTGCAGCTTGTGTTGTGGAGCCTGCAGCCTGCAGCTTGTGTTGTGCAGCCTGCAGCCTGCAGCTTGTGTTGTGGAGCCTGCAGCCTGCAGCTTGTGTTGTGGAGCCTGCAGCCTGCAGCTTGTGTTGTGCAGCCTGCAGCCTGCAGCTTGTGTTGTGCAGCCTGCAGCCTGCAGCTTGTGTTGTGCAGCCTGCAGCCTGCAGCTTGTGTTGTGGAGCCTGCAGCCTGCAGCTTGTGTTGTGCAGCCTGCAGCCTGCAGCTTGTGTTGTGGAGCCTGCAGCCTGCAGCTTGTGTTGTGGAGCCTGCAGCCTGCAGCTTGTGTTGTGCAGCCTGCAGCTTGTGTTGTGGAGCTGTGTTCTGCAGCTTGTGTTGTGCAGCCTGCAGCCTGCAGCTTGTGTTGTGCAGCCTGCAGCTTGTGTTGTGGAGCCTGCAGCTTGTGTTGTGGAGCTAGCATCAGCTGCTCGGGGTGCAAACTGCTCAGAAAAACATTAAAATAGATCAGAAATCACTTCAGTGTGATACAGGTCTGTGTGCGACAGAGGATCCGGCTGTTTTTAAACCCTCTGCTGGGCTACAAACAGCCGCAGCAGGAGCGTAAACACGGCTGCGGAGCCTGGCATTGTCTGCTGCCATTTTTCACCCCGTTAGCTTCTGTATGTGTCGCTAGCCGCGGCAGCTAGCAGCGGGCTAACTTCTGTATGTGTCGTTAGCCGCGGCGGCTAGCAGCGGGCTAACTTCTGTATGTGTCGTTAGCCGCGGCGGCTAGCAGCGGGCTAACTTCTGTATGTGTCGTTAGCCGCGGCAGCTAGCAGCGGGCTAACTTCTGTATGTGTCGTTAGCCGCGGCGGCTAGCAGCGGGCTAACTTCTGTATGTGTCGTTAGCCGCGGCGGCTAGCAGCGGGCTAACTTCTGTATGTGTCGTTAGCAGCGGGCTAGCTACTTACTTAGACGACCACCCTCTCCACTTGACCAGATACTCGAACTTTCCCTGAAGAAGAGAACAGAAAAGGGGTCAGGGTCACGTGAAGAACCGTGTCCGGTGTACAGAGGAAACCCGCGGAGCCGTTAGCGGAGATTTCTTACTTTCTGGGCCGTTTGCTGAGGATGCATTCCGCATCAAATACCTGGCCGACTGTGACCCCTCCATTACTACAGCAGCCCCTCAGAACGGGCGGAGAGCGCGTTTTTGACCTCACACGGCACCGTAGATCCTTCAAATCACAATATACATATAAAAATACAAACTTAAGGAAATAACACAACAAAATGACCTTTATACTCTTTAAAACACGTTTTATAGCTGTTGTTTTTACAGGAATTATTATCTATTCTGGGTTTTACCTTTTATTCCAAATTAAGGCGGTATTTTCTATATTTTTATTATTTTAATCTGTTTCCTTTGATGGTTTTAATCTTTCTTTTAAAAAAATCTTTTGGTGGTTTTATTATTTTTTATATTGTTTTATATTGTTTTATTTCCTTTCATCTTTAATGTGTTTGTTTTGACATTTTTAACCATCGTCTTTCTTACTTTTCTTTTTTTTAATTAAACAAATATTGACAGAAACAACAAACCGGAAGGCTCGCTCCGGTGGGCCCAAACTATACACAGGACCTGGTGACATGCATTGAGAGCGTGTCACAGCTGTTGGGGGTTCGGTGCTGAAGGTACCAATAATCCAGGAAGTGACCTGGCACCTCTCCAGCCACCAGACTTTGGTCCACACCAGGACGTCAACAGACTGATCTCTGAAGCTTCAGAGTCCACCACATGGTGACCTGAGTGAGACCTAGAGAGGAGGGGGGGGGGGACAGCTGGGGACGATGTTTAGAATTCAGACTGCAGTACCCATTTTAAACACTAGGGGCCAGAGCTACATATTGCACCTTTAACATCTCTTGTTTTGCATTATCCTGCTCTTATCATGACACCTTTTCTCATTCACTGTCACCTTAACTTCCTACTTCCTGCACGACATGTCTGAAGGTATGAACTCTTTGTTTGTTTGGGTGTTAACGGGTGTTTAGTTTATTTGATTGGTACAACCCTGAAGAGTTGTAAAGACAATGCATTTGTATTTATTCTCATGTATTCTTATTTTTATTTGTAATAAACTGCACGCTTTGTTCTCGTCTTTTCACTGCTGAACGATGACGGTTTATTTTATCTTACAAAGTGACATTAAAAGGAAAATATTGGTTCAAAGTTTCTGTTGTTTACTCTCTTTTTTCTTTATTTGTCCTTCATGTTTTTTGAAAATGAAGGAGAGTGAAGGTTCACTGTTGTAGTTTTGAGTAAATATAAAGACATCATGCGGAACCTTTGCGCTTGTGTCTAGAGGGGACTGGGGAGTTATTTCTGTGTTGCACAACAGTTATATGTGTTTCCTTCAACATGTTTGGTGTTTCTGTTCAGCGGTGAATGACAGTGAAGCTCTTCTTTAAGGTACTTTTTAAAGATAATGTTTAATTACAAATATCAAAGTTATTACGGAGTTAACAGTCCTGTTAGCATGCTAAGCTAAGATCAGTGCTGATACCGGTCAGAGGAGCCGGATGTAAGAATTTATTATTTAATCGATTAATAAAGATAATTAAATCAATTCAGTTCAGTCAACATCAGTGACACTCACCTAAATACTTAAAGTCAGCTGACCGAAAATAATCTTGCATGGTTCAAAAATCATCCAAACCTCACCTGAAAAGCTTCGATTTTAAGACTTTTCTGTGTTTTATCAGAATATCACACACCTCAATGTGACACTGTGGATATCTATATAATCTTCAGTGTTTGCTGGATAATTCGGCTTACATGTGACCCACCAAGAAAACAGTACGTGATTAAAAGTGACGGTTTTAGAAGCAGGTTCAGTAGCCCAGCAGCAGCCGCCGCTTCGATCAGAGGGTTTCTAATGTTTCCAGCTTGATTTACATCCAAAGAGTTCATGATTATAAAAGTATTATTTTGCCGAATTGAAGAGTGGCTTTAACCATGCTACAAAATGTATTTATTAGTTCTACAACAGGCAGGTCCCATGTTTTAGTAAGCAAGTTGAACTTAATGTTACACTTTTTGAACGGAGTTTGGTCCAGTAGGTTTTAAAGAGACAGTTTCAATTATGATTCAACAACAAGTCATTTTCTAACTTAAATAACAAATGTATAATGGTTCCATGTCGATGCTGGTTGTGATGGGACTTTTCTGGGCTTTTTATTGTTTTATGGAAACTAAAAGATTAAAGTCTAATTGTTCATTAAGTTCATAAAACTTGCAGATATGTTTATTTTTGTTGGGAATAAAATGAAGCGTGTCTGACTCCTGGCGTTCCTCTTCGTCCAGGTCTCCCCCCGCTGACCCTTCTCCAGGTGTGGACTGACTGCAGGTCCAGCCATGCTGCTCCCCCTCCTGCTGCGTCAGTCCCTCCGCTGCCCTCCGGTGTTGTTGACAGGAAGCGCCCGGTGCCACACTCAGAGGACGCTGCACTCTCAGGCCGAGCACTTCCTGCGCCGGAAGCTTCCTCTGCGCTCCCACGCTCAGAGCCGAGGCGTGAAGAGCCGGAGCAGGAAGTCCAAGAGCCAGGAGGAGGATTGGAAAGCCAGGAACAAGACGGTGTTGACGTACATCGCTGCTGCGGGCGTGGGAATGATCGGCCTATCGTACGCCGCCGTGCCGCTCTACAGGCTCTACTGCCAGGTGAGGGAAAAAACAAAACGACTTCCTGTTTGTAACCTATAGACTGCAGGTGTGACGACCTCCAGGCTGCAGGTGTGACAGCTGTGTGTTTGTGTGACAGGCGTCGGGACTTGGCGGCACGGCGGTGGCCGGCCATGACACAGATCAGGTGGAGACGATGAAGCCGGTGAAAGAACGCATCATCAAAGTCTCGTTCAACGCAGATCGACACGCCAGCATGCAGTGGAACTTCAAACCGCAGCAGACGGAGATCTTTGTAAGTTTAAACTCTCATCGTAAATCTTTATTCTTTGATTCTGCACACAAGATGAGGAGGATTCTTCATAAGATAAGAGAATCCTTTATCTGTCCCACAGCGGGGAAGTTTACAGTGTTACAGCAGCAAAGAGCAAAGACTGCAGACACAAAGAGAACACAGTACAGTTTAAATAAAAAATAAAAATTAAGAATGTACAAAAAATAGATCGATACCACAATATAGATTTTAGAAAATTGATTAAAAAATATATATTTTTGGTCTCGCCTTGGTATCAAAACGTTTGTCATATTTTGACTCTGGTTCTGTGATGTCCAGGTGGTTCCAGGTGAGACGGCGCTGGCTTTCTACAAAGCAAAGAACCCCACAGACAAACCCATCATCGGCATCTCCACCTACAACGTGGTCCCCTTCGACGCCGGGCAGTACTTCAACAAGATCCAGGTAACAGCTGCTCCACACGCGTACCCTGAACGCATCGCTCCGGGTCCAAGCTCAGCTCTCTAAAAGTGTTCTTTGTCGTATCTTTTTAGTGTTTCTGCTTCGAGGAGCAGCGACTGAACCCTCACGAGGAGGTCGACATGCCCGTCTTCTTCTACATCGACCCCGAGTTCGACGAGGACCCCCGCATGGCCCGCGTGGACACCATCATCCTGTCCTACACCTTCTTCGAGGCCAAAGAGGGGCAGAAACTTCCTCTGCCCGGATACAGCTACAACTGACCCGACAGGGGCGCCATCATCCTGATCCTGATCCTGATCCTGATCCTGATCCCTACTAAAACTAAAAACTTAAGTTTTGTTGTTAAGTTAAAATGCAAACGAAACCTTTGACTGTGAAGAACATTTTTTGAGATGACTTCCTGCTGTCCCACGTCATCAGAGATTCAGGACGTCTGGTCGTAGCCGAGAGAATCATCAGCAACATTTAGCTCCTGGATACCACATGTTTTAAAACGACACAACCTCTATTGACTTAATGTTTGATATCGGGCTGTCAGCAATCACAATTAATCTCAATTTGTCCCTTCAGGCTCTCCGTAGATACTCGTCCTCAGTGTCTCCCTGTAGTCTCAGTGATGTAAAAGAAGAACACTGCTGCATCTCTGAATGTCTCATTTCACTTTAACAAACTCTCAGACAGTAATATCCACCTTATGACATCACACATTGACCTTATGACATCACACATTGACCTTTGACGTGGATCACTTGACTCTTCTCTTTAAAGGGCGCCGTGACTCGAGGGCGTTGATCTGAGACTGAAGACTGTTTGTGTTTGACGCCCGAGAGACCGACTGATTGGACTGATTGATTTGTTCAACACACTGAAGATGAATGAATATAATATATTTAAATCTGTAATAAAGGTTTGAACACTCTGTTTTATTTCTTTAAATCTGCAAACATTTCTCCTGAAGCTGAAGGACGATGTTTTCAGCCCATACTTACGTATTAAATTAATATTAAATATATTATTAAATAATATTAAGGTAGATTATTCAGGTGTTTTTAAGAGCTGCAATTTTCTTTAATTTAGTTGAAAACAAACTTTAAGATGTTTTTATGAGGCTCTGCAGGAGAGGAGCTTGTGAGGTGTAATTTGCTGTTTTGGCCACCAGGTGGCAGCAGAGGAAAAGAAGTGCTCAAGAAGAATTTTAGTAGAGTTTACTGGGAGTGAGAAATGGATCATCAACTCTTACTTTAATCAGACTATATGGCATGAAGTTGTAGACACCAATAGGAACCCAACAATCTAAATTCTGCTGCTTATAAAAAAGATAAAGTCAAATAACTTTACTATTTTCAACGTGTTGTTTTAAGACATTTAAGCACTTTCACACACTTTTATTTTGAAGGTACAAACAGGATGCAGTACGTTCTTTTTTCATCCTGTACAGACGACGTCACACAGGCAGCGAATGAACGTCTCCGCGTCAGGTCCCGGGCTCCAGGTGGCATGCAACTCAGAGGATGGACAATCAGACGCCAGCGGGGTTAGACTCC